AATAAATGAAAAGTTAATATTGTTTAAAATGTTTTTTTTATACTCTCGCAACCTGTTGCTACAGAGTATAATAGTTTTGTTCACCTAACGGTTGTTTGTATCACCTAAAACTAATCGAGTTAGATATAGGGTTATGTATATATAAATAATCAGGATGAAGAGATGAGTTGAAATCCGGGTGACTGTCTGTCCGTCCGTCCGTCCGTCCGTGCAAGCTCTAACTTGAGTAAAAATTGATTCTTTATGAAACTTGGTAGACATGTTTCTTGGTACCGGGAGACGGTTGGTGTTGCAGATGGGCGTAATCGGACCACTGCCACGCCCACAAAACGCCATTAGTCAAAAACAAATAAATTGCCATAACTAAGCTCCGCAATAAGATACAATACTGTTATCTGCAGTTAAATTTAGTTTTTAAGTGGACGTGGTCCCGCCCCTAATAGGTTTAATGTGCATATCTACCATATAATGCATTATCATATATAATAACCAAATTCACTGGAAGCAAATGTTGTTAGAACTTCTACCTACAGTGTGAAAATAGTTGAAATTGGGTGGCAACTCCGCCCACTCCCCATATAATGGTACTGTTAAAAACTACTAAAAGCGCGATAAATCAAGCACGAAACACGCCAGAGACATTAAATTTTATCTCTGGAATGGTATGAGATAACTTTATAGGAAGCGCGTTCAAAATTAGACAGTGGGCGTGGCACTGCCCACTTTTAGGTGAAAACCCATATCTTGGGCTCTGCTTAAGCGATTTCAACCAAATTTGGTGTATAACGTTTTTTTTATATTTCTATGTCATAGTCCGGACTACAAGCACGCCTATTTCTCATATAACACCATTTTAAATTCCATCTGAATTTTTCACTTTCCACTATGCATATCAAGCAACAATGATTATATCGGGGCAAAACTTTGCGTGAATAATACGTTTAAAGTATGCCACCTTGTGACCAAAAATTGTCTAAATCGAACCAAAGCTGTTCAAGCCCCTAAATACTAAATATGTGGACCCCAGTGCCTATAGTTGACCTTCCGAAAATATCAGTCAATCCACATAGAAATCTCAAACGAGTATACCATTTGACTTTGCGAGAGTATAAAATGTTCGGTTACATCCGAACTTAGTTCTTCCTTACTTGTTTTATCTTACAATACATGTCTGTTATTGATGAATTTGTATTATGAAACTATAGGTATATGGTAACTGAAATAAGGAACATAAGTTTGAGGCTTGATATTCTCTAAATATCTGAAAAATACCGCGTCAATGGTGGTTCCATATTTTGTTGTGGGTTCTTGTGGATTATTATTCATTTTCAAATCCAATTTTCCAAAGATAAGTTGTCAACCGCTCTGATTTTTTATCAGCGAAGTTGATGTTGAAATCGCCAGCCAAGATAAGCGGACATTTGTTACCATTGATAACCCGATTGAAATACCTAAAAAACCCCAATTCAAACGAGATACTGTTCCAAAAGTTGGTGTAGCTATTTACCAAAATAATAATAATGCTACTAATATTATGACACCGAATATTGAATAATTTATTTTTTATTAATTTAATTTTTATTAAATTCCATTTCATTATTTGCTATTAAAAAAATTGTATCATATATATTATTATTTTTGAATCTCCCTGCTCTTCAATTGATTTGTTCCGCTTGAGATTTGCGAAAATACGCCTAAAAGTATGCAAACCTTTTGCGCATACTTTGTGATCGTGTTAGGTTTTTTTCCGTTACGGAATTTCTTGATTCAGTCACCACGTGAAAGTGCGTTCATTCGGATGTTTGTAAAAGTTTACAATCATTTATTAAGCATCTCTTCTGAGGCTCGAAATGAGTTTTAAGAAATTAATACCTATATGTAAAAAAATAAAATCGATCAAAAAACTTTACTTAAAGCAAAACTTGTATTTGGATATGTGTGTGCATACCGTCATCTCCCTCTCTGGAGATAGCTATTTCTCCTCTCTATTTCTGCTTTACATTTCTCTCATCAAATCAAAACAAAAGATGGGGAACAAGGCGCTAACGACTTTCTTTTGCAAGTTTACAGACCCTTAATCTAGAATTAGCAATTTGTGACGTTATCAAACATTTAGTTTCAATCAGATCTAGTCCTTTCTTAGCTGTTTTATTAAACAAGGAGAAAAAAAGGTGATCTGTCTAATATTCTTCTATATTATTATTCAAATATCCTTTAACATGCTTACATTTTTTCCTCGACAACGCGGAAACAGTACATACGTACATAAACAAATGAAATACTATCATTAATTAATGTAGATAACAAATAATATTTGTAAATATTTATTCTTAACAATAGGAACATATTAATTTAGGTTAAGGATTCATAGTAAACAAAGTAAGATAATATTCAAACAACTAAAGAAGGCTAAGTTCGAGTGTAACCGAAAATTTCGTACTCTTGCAACTTGTAAGGATCAAACCCAGGAAAGTACCTACTGTTTTTGGCATTACTACATATTATTAACCGAAACAAATGCTAATTTTGTTTTATTAAGGTATCTCACAGGGTGGTTTTCATCCGATTTTAAAAATACGCTCACTCAATTTAATTAAGATAACTCACGTATTGTACATATATGAGGTATAAAGTCAGCCTGAAGTTCAAAATACTATCCGTTTTCGATTAATGGCGTTTTGTTGGCGTGATAATAGTCCGATGCCGCCCATCTGCAAAACCTTCCTTGGGTGTCATCAAGATTTCTCAATTTTTACTCAAGTTGCCGCTTGCACAGACAGACTGTCTGTCCGTCCGACAGACAGTCACTCGGATTTCAACTCGTCTTGTCATCGTTATCATTTATATATATATATATATAACTTAATATCTATCTTGATTAGTTTTATATATGTTTTTTTTTTTTTCAAATGAATGTATGTACATTCTAACATAAATTATAGCAGACTTTGATAAAAATTAGTGGCACCAACAGCCTATGGTAAATATAAAGAAGAAAACGGATTGACTCCTTTTATTAATTTTATAAAGGTTAGGCAAGCCTTTTCAGAAAATTTTACTATTATTTCATATCCAATTGCTAGCTCCACTATAACGTATGCTTTAAATAGTACATATTATTATGAACAGCGGAATGATATTCCCACATATCTTCGCCTTCAAATCCCAACCTGTATACGAGTTTGCAAATAGACCTATACAACTATATCAACTTTCTACTCTTATAAAACTGTGCTTTTGTAAGTATGCGCATATGTACATATGTAAGTATTTTTATTCAATTAAGAAATTACAAACAAAGGCGGCACACTTTTGCAGCTTTGCGGCATGACAAGCGTTGTCTTTTGTTTGCGTTAAATTGAAATTATAAATGAGCAAATGCGCACTGATAAGAGGACGACCAACTTAATAAAAGACTGGCGCATTCAAACTTTAAAGAGCAATCACAGAAAGATATGTGCGTTCATACGTATGCACGATATATGTATAATACTGTCACATCTCTTTTATTGTAAGAAAAGTATAAACATTTTGTTATTTCAACATATTTTAAAAGTATCACGTCTTCAAATTTAACTGAATCTAGTTTCACTAATATGAAATTTTGCATTTGCATTACAGATTACATAATTGCGCCTGCGCTTTATTGTACATTAAAGATAATTGTCGACAATTTTCCGCTAACAATACAGAATATTTAATTTCGTTGAATAGCTTAAACGTAATTTCACGTTTAAGTTAATAGTTCTTTTTCTGAGCGTTTTTATTTGCTTCACGTCCCTTATTCTGTTCTTCAAAATTTGCGAAAAAATAGAAATTATAAAAATTAAATAGATTAGGACTTTTGATTAGATTTTATTTTAAGACAAGGCGATCCTCTATTTAGAATAATACTGAGAAATTAGAAAATAGTTGTCATAACCATTTCTAAATTATGTAACTAAGAGCTGTCCCCATAATAATAGTTTTAGTATACCCTCACTTTCTGCTTGATGCAAGTGGAAACTGCTTCTAACAGGTGATGCGGGCATCTATTTACAACAACGTATCATCAAAATCTCAAAGTGCTAAATGAGAGAAAACTATAGTCCATAAGCTGGATACACCTTCTAACACGAACACAATTGCTTAAAAGCGTGGTAGTAAGCACTGCCACTAAAACAATAACTTTTTCAATCAAAAGCGTATATAACACTTTCGTATAATATTTGCAAATGCCCCAAATATCTACTATATGCAATCTGAAAGAAAATACATTCCATATACAATATATTTATATGTATATTTAGTATAAATTTATTTCTATTATTAACTTTTATTTTTTAACCCGATGTTGGTATTAAAAATTAGATTTTAATTTTTTGTCCCCGATGTTTTTAATCTGGTTTATGAGATTTAATTTGTTTTTTTTTAAATCCGTTTTGCGGAATTAGATTTTTTTTCTCAAACGGTAATTGGGACTAAAAATAATTTTTTTATTTTTTATTCCCGTATTTGGGATTACAAAATCAAAAAAAATGTAATTCAAATGTTTATTTAATTAGTTTTTTAACACATTAATTGCAACCCTGGCTCGAACCAACAATCGAACAGAGTACTATATAACTGCAGTATCAACAACAGCAATCAGAGTGACATTTGCTACCATTTCAAATTGTCAGCTGTTAACTTTTCTAATTGATGTGATTTTAATTGTGTCAAATGGGTTGCCTAGTGCACGATACCGAAGGACATGAACACAAACGGCGATTGGTTGAGCGCAATTGACACATCGTTAGCTGTAAATTAGTTTGCATGTGTCTAATCGTCTACCTCAACGATTACTTTACCTGTACAAATGGGCGCTACGCTCAAAGTATCTCTTGGAATGACGTTGTTATACCAACCCCGTAAAGAGTAAACGAATAGAGCTAATTTTGTTATATATGTTTGAATGCACAATACTTAAGGCGCCGATGGTAATTGTTTTCAAATTAAAAATTTCAGTACGGTTGACTTACCGGCATTTGTACAGATAAGGCCACTGCACATCAAGCAAATTAAAATGGCAAGGTTATTGAACCAGAGTCGGCTGTTTCGTCTGTTACACATTTTCGTTTGGCGCGAGAATTAGTATCTTAGGAATTGCGGTCACAAATGGTTAATGTGGATGAAAAGCTAAAATAGAAGAAAAAATAATTCCCTACGTTAGAGGAGTAACTGCTAATTTGCTTGTTATTAAATAATTTTTTATCCGAAAAGGGTTTTTCTATCCAGCACCTTTATTACACCAATTGGTTCTAAAATCAGTATAAAGAAAGTCGAAGGAAAAATGTAAAAAGCTTAAAATTATAGTAACTTTTCGGGAACTATATAATACATATAGGTATACATATTTCTTATGGCATAAGATGGTATAAAATGATATGGTATTTATCTTTATTTTGATCGATAATTTTGTATGTTAACTACACGCTATAGGGGTCGGATTTATGCAATTTCTTCGGAGAATGCATCGTTCCCTTGGCCAATAATATGTGCAAGATATCTTGCCAAATAAAAAAGTTTTCCATACAAAAACTTGATTTTGGCCGAGCCGTTTGTATAGCAGCTATATTGCGGAGAAACCGACCTGTGCAAAATGTCAGATCGATATCTTAAAAACTAAGGGACTATTTCGCGTAAATAGAGACAGACAGACGGACAAATAGATATGGCCAAATCGACTCAGCTCGTCACGCTTTGACTTATGTACTTTATCGGGTCACAAACAGTTTTTTCCGGATGTTATAAACTTCGGGGTAATCTTAATATACCCTGTTCACGGTATAAAACGTAGAAGCAATTTGCAACGAAATAAAAAATCATTCTTCGATGATGTGCAAAATTAAAAATTACAAAAAGCCGTTTATAGGCAACCCTTTTCTTGAATCATTCACTCTGTACGGTTAACTAGAAAACCACTACCACACGAAAGAAGATTTAAAAGAAAACGTTTCATTATTTTAATGATACATGTTTCGATATAAAAGTAGTACAGATATCCAAAGGACCCGAGCAAAAGGTGTAAGAGGGAAACAAATGGCAAGAATATTCATAATAATTTAATTTGTAATCAAGTATATGAACACATTCGTTTTTTAGTTTTAAAAGCCATTTATACATATACACTAAAATATATGTATAACATACTATCTTTCTGAAAATCTATTTGAATTAGTTTATGTAGTATAAAAAGTGTGAAGTATAAGTGAATTGGCAATTAGACAAGTAGACAAAGTGTCTTGAGAATAAAAGCTGCTTTTGTAATTTTTACATTGATCTACCAATCGTGAGCTTTATAGTTCCTAATCAGTAAATAAATGCAAGTTCAAATATCAAATCAGATGATATTTTTATGAAAATACCTAAATACCACTAAAATTCCATCGTGTTAATCATTTGAAATTGGCACAATTTTATTTGTTTATATTTGCTTTTTTATACTCTTGCTAGCTCCTCTCCATCGCTGTGATAATGGGCGATATGATAACCGCGGCCACCCATCATATAACTGTTATGTCGAAAACTATTAAAAGAAAGGTTACTTACTAAACAAATACGTCAGAGGCATTAAATTTCATACTTCAGATGGCACGAAAATATTGCATTGGACTCATTGTAAAAATTGTTGATAAAATTTCATATCTCAGAAACTGTACGACCAATATCAACGAGATTTGGTGCATAACATTGTTCCACATAGCGAAATCAGACTACAACCACGCCTACTTCCCATATATCACTAAACCTGTGTATATAAGTGCGTTCAAAGTATGTCATCTTAGAACCATAAATGATATAAATGGTACTATAAATTTCCCATTCCCCCATACACCGAATATTTGGATCCCAGTGCCTTTGTTTGACCTTATTCCGAAAATGTCAGCCAATCTTTGAGATATATTAATGAAAATCAGAGAACTTCTTTTCCTAATTAGTGATTCCGACTTTCCAGTTGACTTTGAATAGTTAATTAGGTCAATATGTGCAATATTGTAATGAAATTAACTATTTTCTTAACCGCTTAACCAAGTGGTTTTCTCAACACTCGCTGCCGAAGAATGAATTCGGTTTAAATCCAAACACCTAATACCTACTTCTAAAGGTATCCGCGACTCCCGTTACTTTTCCCAATATTTCGTCCTTTTGGTTGAGCTTATATCTCATACATCTCAATTAAATTAAGTGAGAGCATATTAAATAACAGTATGCCATTCGGCAACAAAGATTATGGATATCGGTGTGTTCCTTTCCCCTGCACTAATATGATGAATATAGAAATTTGTGTTAGTTAGATTGATTTTAATATAAATATATCGGCCTAAGTGATTATATGATTTTTAGCTTAGAGATACCAAATACGACTGTGATCCAAAAATAATTTTGTCCAATAATGAATATTGAATTCGATTTTACAATGAATTAGAACTATACGAAATATTAATTCAATGAATTAACTAAAAGGAAAGAAAAGTGGTTAAAAATATACAAATTACAAAGCAATGTTTTGAGCCTACGTAACATATCCTTTATTATGTACTTCATAAATTTGTCTGTAATTGGTTTGAGAATGTTTGAAATAAGCTAATTAATCATAATTTTATTGACTATTTGAATATGTATTTATGTATGTATAACAACTAGATATAATATTTTGTACACGCGGTTCGTGTCACTCTAAATAATCAATTATTATACACACGAACGACAGGAATAAACTACTTTGTGAATAATATATTATGTGAAAATTACTTAAAAAACATAAATATCTATTACAAATATTGTGTGTAGTTATATTACACACAATGTACCGAAAGTTCCAAATCTTAATCAATTGATTTCTGAAATTAAATTTATGTAAGGAAATAAACAAAGAATAACATATTTTGTATTTTGAGAAAGAAATTATTCTTCATCTTTCTCTATATTTGAATTAAACCGCTTTAGGTCTGAAGTTAAATTTATGTAAATAAACAAAGAATAACATATTTTGTATTTTGAGAAAGAAATTCTTCTTCATCTTTTTCTATATTTGAATTAAACCGCTTTAGGTGGTCAAGAAGATAGCTCTTGTCCCATGCTCCTTAATACACTGCAGGCATTTGGCAAACTTTTTATTACCTGACTTCTTAAAGTATTTCCAAACTTTAGAAATTCCTTTTTAAATTACAATAAAACAGTTTGTACCAAATTTTGTACAAAGCGTTCAACTAGTTCCACCGCCTAAAAATATACAATCCTGTTGTGCCATTTTATTCGTTATATATTAACATTTTTAAGTTTTTTGCGCTTTTAGTAATATAACAGAGGCACATGTGGATATTATCTACCATTTCACACAGTGGCATAGTAACATAAGCTGAAGTATATGTCTCGATTCCCCTCACCTACAATAACCATATCTCGCACATAGGAATACGTGTACGTGTATGTTCGGTGAACGAAACTTTGATACTCTGTGCAACATTTTGCAAGTGTATAAAAATATGTTTTGATATCATGAACTTCATGTCTCCGAAAAGAACGTTCCTAATGCCGTTTGGGCGCTAATCAACTTTCATTTAACAGCAAAGTGAAAAGTTAATTGCATAATTTGGTATATTCATTCAGTAAAATTGGGCGTCAAAAAGTTTAATTGAACAAGTAGATAAGGCCTAAGTTCGGGTGAAACCGAATATTTCATACTCTTGCAACTTACCTTCAGGCCTATACATGTGATATAAAGTCAACTGATAGTTAGAAAAGCTTAATATCAGGTATATGGGGGCTAAAAAAGTACTGATCCGACTCAACCCATTTTCGACATTAGGGTATATTACTATCAAAGAAACATTTTCTCCGAAGTTTAATAACATATCTCTCAGATTAATCGATATTTTCGGCAAAAAGTCAGTCATACGCGCTAGGCTCCACATATTTGACGCTTGGGTTCTTGAAAAGTGATGAACCGATTTCGACCATATTTGTGCAAAGTTTTATCTGGATAAATTGATTGATTCTTAACTTAAATACTGGAAATGGAAGGAATCATTCGAAATTTAAAATTGTACTATATGAGAAGTAGGCGTGGTTGTAGTCCGACTGTGATAGTAGTTTTAGATGACACAAAAATCTTTAGGTAAACAAACTTTATACTCTGTAGCAACATGTTGCAAGAACCGATTTCGACCATATTTGTGCAAAGTTTTATCTGGATAAATTGATTGATTCTTAACTTAAATACTGGAAATTGAAGGAATCATTCGAAATTTAAAATTGTACTATATGAGAAGTAGGCGTGGTTGTAGTCCGACTGTGATATTAGTTAGTATAAACCTAAAGGTTTTTTTGTGTCATCTAAAACTGATATCACAGTCGGACTACAACCACGCCTACTTCTCATATAGTACAATTTTAAATTTCGAATGATTCCTTCAATTTGCATTTAAGAATCAATCAATTTATCCAGATAAAACCTTGCACAAATATGGTCGAAATCGGTTCATCACTTTTCAAGAACCCAGACGTCAAATATGTGGAGCCTAGTGCGTATGACTGACTTTTTTCCGTGAATTGCTAGTGGTAAAAGAGCTAACCCAAATAGTAGTGTCCGCAGCTGATCGGAACACGCATTCTGATTACTTGCTTCATTGTGAACAGAGCACGTACGCAAGCAAAGAGATTATAAAAATACAACCGATAAGAGACGGAAACCTTCTGCTGCTAGTAAAATCAAAAGCATGCCGATCTTTGTGCGTACAAAAGAATTACCGGGAATATGCTCTATCTCATGCAAGTTACATACTATACACTGTCAAGGGAACAATCTTGCCCCTGCTTAAACAATATCTCAGATGAAGAAATAATTAAAGAGTTAAAGGCCCAAAACGTAATAGATGTCTACAGATTTAAAACGTAAATGGTAACTTTACCTACGGGAGTAGTGCTGCTATCATTTGACCTTCAAATTACCAAGTAAAATTGACGTTTCATGGTGATGCAAATCATGTCAGATTCTTGGCCTACAGCCAAACACTGCAAAATAATCCAGTGCGTAAACTGCAATCTCCCCAACGACTTGTATTCGTACAATGTGCGAATTGCGCTGATAAGCACGCAGCTCTTCGAGAGACGCCCAAAGTTCATTCAGCAAAAGA